GGAGGAAACATTCGCTATAAAAGGCACCGTAGCCACGAGGAATTCGTCAGAGGAGTGACGAACCGTAACCAAAAAAAAAAAAAAATATAATAATAATAAAGGCGGCAGCCTTTGCCGTTTTTTCCTCGTCATCGCGCGGTGAACAACACCCCTCAAACTTGTGAAGATGCGGTCTAGCCTGGTCAGTGTCCAATTTTTGTCATCATCTTTGTCACTATTGTTTCGTGGCACGGATTCGTGTAGTACAAGTGTATCTGTGGAACAAAAGAAATGTGATATCTTTTAACGATACTCGCGGAGGAGTGATGAGAGAGTTATTGGAACCGAGCTTTGGTGAATTAACACGTTCACTGCGAACTATGCGAACCATTGGATCGTACGGATAGGATACCGAATTAAACGTGGAACGCAAGAAATCACAAAATTGTGGAAAAAGATAAATAATAATTGTTATAAAGAATAGTAATTCACGCAAAGTTTTGTAAAATACAGACAAGTGTTATATGGGAACTGTTCGAGTAGTTCAAGAAAAAAGTGGTACAAGTGACAAAATCTTTAATTCGAGAAATTGGTAAAGTTAATAATTTCTTTAGTAGAGAAATTTCTATGATTTTAAATATTAGGTTATCCGAAATGTTTCTTTCATTTTATAAGGAAATAATAGAAGCACAATGCTTTTTGTTTTATATTAGTTTATTGAATTATGCACGAACATAATAATAGAAATATAATGAAATTTATCATACCTAATTCAATAAAATAATATAAAACAGAAATTGTTGTTCATCTATTATCACCTTATGAAACGAAAGAAACTTTTCGGACAACCTAATATTAATATACTATTTCGTTATATGTATTCTATGCTTATATGTATGCTTCTTGTATTTGTCTTGTTGGAAGAAGAAACACTTGTATCATTTTTCACTGGTAGTATATAACATTGTAGTTAATGAAATTCAATCATTGCGATCCACAGTGGGCGTGTTAATAGAGTTTTGTTCCTCGAGATATCAAGTAGAATAGTAGGTTGGTTTTATAAGTCAGGGTGACAGTGAATCTTGATATCACGTGTCTCAATGTATCATAGTATTATAACGGTTGGTCTTCGTGGTTATATAGTGATTCTTGGTTCTTTGAAGATAAGGTTGAATTATCTTGTTAGGAATATTGAACTTGTCTATACTAAAACATGGAAATTTTGCGCATCAAAAATTTCTAAATTCCTTGATTTTTGAATCTGAAAAGTCCAGAAATCATGAATTGTAGATCAGTAGGTATCATTTTGATGTCACACTACTAGATCGAAGAACTTCTCGAAAAGTTCAAATTGCAATTCTGAATGAATATTTTATTAGCAGGTTCCATTTCCTTCTTCGTGTCATACTACTGACCTGAGGAATTTCTCGAAAGTCTCCCTCGTTTATCTTCTCTGCGAATAAGGTTACAGTTTGAAATGTTGATGAAAACCAAACTATGTAGTTTCGTTCACGAATAGTTGGTGAAGTTAACATTCCGTTCGAGTCACCGAATTCAGTACGTCGATGCTATTTTCTAGGAGCTATCCTAAGTAAGTATTCTCGTCGCTTCACGTTGTGCAGAATGGAAAGTCGACCGTTGTGCTCGTGCCTCGAATGATCATCTTTCGTAAAATTGTACCAAAGATATCAGAAACTCGTTTACCTTCCACATTTAACCCAGTTACGGGAATCTATTTCCGTAAAAAAATTCCAATTCCATTAAATTATTCATTTCTACAACATTTCTTTTCTCAAACGTCATTCCTTGAAATTTGTAAGCTCTTCACATCAATTCTTAGCGATTGTTCAGCGGTTTATCTTTAATGTATCTATATGTGAAAGAATATGCCGAGATGTCACACTTTTGCCTTTCTATCGTTAGGTTAATGTCATTTTCAACAACTTTCCCAATACTTTCATAAATTTGGATTATCGACATTATCATTTATTCAATCAATTAACAGACCATCAACCTTGATACAAGTTAATATGATTAAAATTTGTCTCTAAAATTGTTAGTTTATTCTGAAACTATTACCTATAATAGCATAGTGATAATCTTTTTTAAACACTCTTGACAATAGCTTATTTGCTAATCTCTGATTTTAAATTCTAGTGTCGTGGTAATGTTCTCAGAATATTTTCTTATTAAAAGATATCGTCTCTAATAGCATATTTTTTAATCTGAGACTTAAAAGCCTGTAACAATATCATAATTCTTTAAAAGACTTTTAATCTTAAGATGTCATTGACAACGGTGTATTTTTTAATCAAAGACTGAAAATTTCATTCCCTAAAAAAATTAAAAATTGAAAAATTGTATTAATCGAATAATCTTCGGGTTATTACTCTCTTGGATCGGTCCGGGTATTGATCTTGACAAAGCAACTGTGGCTTACGGTAATCAACGTAACAGGAAGGCCAGTGGTAAGCCGGTTCACCAAAATGGCTGCCGACCAAAATAAAAAGCAAACACGTTTCGGAGAGCGAGAAACGAAACTGAGAGGCCCACTTTCCCGTCGGTCTTCCTGGCGTTAATGAACAGCTACGAGTTTCACGATCAAGCTCCTGTTTCCACGTTGGTAAAGGGGAAAAAGAAGAGGAAAAAGGGGGCCACCGTTGACCCCATTCCTGGTCTTGTTTATGTCCGTTCGTTAGTTTGCACACGGTCACTTTCATTTTTGAGAGAGACGATTGTAAACCGTCCTACAAGATATATCATTCGTAACTTTTTAAGGACGTTTGCAGAAAAAGTGGTTATCGATCTTCTCCATGAACTGTTTTTCTTGTTGAAAATTACTCTTCTCTTTTGGTCTTTGAGTTTTGTTTTTTATCGTTATTTTTAATCTAAAAAGAAAAGAGAAGCATATTATTGGGATGAAGTTGCAAGTGTTGGAAAATTTTTGTTATTAAAGGTGAAGCTTTTGAATGTAACTTCTATTGATCTGGGAGAAATATGAAAGACAAATTATTTTGCAATTGCAATTAGCTTTGTCAGAGGTTGATACTATACAGACACAGTTCACATTAAAAAAAATTGTAACTTTGATAACTGTATGTGATACCGAACAATGAAAATTTTAAATTTTGTTCTTCTTTTTATGTTTAAATTTACGTCATATTTAATTCACATTTGTTGGAATCAATATCGATTTGACTAGAATTAATTACTACTTCATCAATTGTTAATTCTGAATGGATTCATAATCAAGAAACAGTTCAATTAATTTCACTAAGAACGAGCACTACATCTCTACAAAGATATCTCTATTAAAAAATTCTTCTCCTCTTTTCAAATTTCAATTTTAGCGTATGGAATAAAGTATAAGAGGTACTTGAACGCTCGCGTGATCGATGGTCAAGATGTAAAGAGAGATAGCGCGTGAAGGTCGAGCGGAATATAGATTGAAATCAGCCTGTAATTATAAGTATAATGCTCGTGTACGAGGTACTGTTTCAGTTAAAACACAGTAGATTGTATCTGCAGTTGCTTGAATATTTAGAGGTTGTTACTGTGTTACTAGGTATATACCTAGTATAATTATGTATTATACAGTCACTAGAGTCACCTAGATGACTAACGTACCATGATTGGTTCATTTGCATCTTTGTTTAGACGATGAGTGTATTTTCTTTCGATAGATGATACCGACTCGATTTCATTTACATTTCCGTAAATATTATATATTTTACTCCTTCTTTATTGTTTGTATACTTGCCTATCTCGTATGCCTGATAATAAATAAAGATGTGAAATAAAAGAATAAATTATAGATGTGAAAGGAAGTAATAATTCTTAAATAATTGGTAATTAAAAAATAATCTTTGCAGTTATTCCTGTGTTGCTTCCTTTTCGTCTCTGCTCTTGGGGACCCGATAAGGACCAAGAAAGAGTGAGTAGATGACTTTGTGATTAATTGGCGAAATAAATAGCTGTGAAATTTGTAACAATAGATGTATGAAGTAAAAAATCGTATTTAATTAATGGTGAATAGTTAGCGGATATTTATACATTTATGGGAAATTAAAATACGTAAAAATATATAAAAAACCAAAAGTATTCGTTATAATATTTAGAGGATAAAATAGATTTTTGCTTAGATCTTATTTTTTTAACTACGTTCATAAAAATATGAATTTGTATAAACACATGCGATTAAGTATTTTGTATTATATTGTATATAGTAATAATAATAATATTATACAAAATAAATATTTTAATATAGAAAAAAATAATTACAAATTTCAGAGCACCTCTAAGCCCACCTCCAAGCCAATATGGCCCACCTGCGACTTCTTATGGAGTTCCAAATGTAGGAAGCTCCTACAACGCACCATCTGATTCTTACGGTGCTCCACCACCACCATCTTCCTCCTATGGTGCACCTTCCTCTTCTTACGGTGCTCCATCAGGACCATCCTCTTCCTACAACGCACCATCATCCAGTTATGGTGCTCCATCAGGTCCATCCTCTTCTTACGGTGCACCATCGTCCAGTTATGGTGTTCCATCAGGTCCATCCTCTTCTTACGGTGCACCATCGTCCAGTTATGGCGTTCCAGCAGGCCCATCCTCTTCTTATGGTGCACCATCATCCAGTTATGGCGCTCCAGCAGGCCCATCCCCTTCCTATGGTGCTCCATCCGATCACGGTGTTGATCACGGTTCTTTTGGAGGCGATCAAGGATATAGCAGCGGTGGATCCTTTGGTGATGATCATGGAAATGGAGGTGGTCATGGATCTTTTGGAGGTGACCATGGATCCTTTGGAGGTGGTCATGGATCTTTTGGAGGCGACCATGGATCCTTCGGAGGCGGTCATGGATCCTTTGGAGGCGACCAAGGTTCATTTGGAGGAGATCACCATGGAGGAGGAGGAGGAGGAGGAGGAGGAGACCACCATGGAGGAGGAGGAGACCACCATGGAGGAGGAGGAGGAGACCACCATGGCGGTGGTGGTAGTGGGGGATTATCAACTTCCTATGGTGCTCCAGCACAATCTTATGGCCCACCAGCACAATCTTATGGACCACCAGCGCAATCTTATGGACCACCAGCGCCATCCTATGGACCACCAGCGCAATCCTATGGGCCACCAGCTCAACCTCAAGGAAAATGGGAGAAGAAATTAACGTGGAAAGCAGAATGGAAGCAGATCTGGAAAACAGAACAGAAATTAATCTGGAAACAAGAATGGAAAAAAGTTCAAGTACCTGTTTGGAAGGAAGTTCAGGTTCCAGCGTGGAAAGAAGTTAAGGTACCAGTTTGGAAGAAAGTCCAGAAACCTATTTGGAAGGAGATCCAAGTGCCAGCGTGGAAAGAGGTCCAAGTACCAGCCTGGAAAAAAGTTTGGAAGCCAGTTTGGAAAGAAGTACAGGTACCTATATGGAAAGAGGTTCAGGTACCTGACTGGAAGAAGGTCTGGGTTCCTGAGTGGATTAAAATAGGTATTCCTGGTGAGCAATATGTTGGTAAGGATCATCATGGTTGGCAGTATACCAGTCATGATCTTTGGAAGAAGAAACTGATTTGGAAACCTATATGGAAAAAGATCTGGAGGACAGAGAAGAAGCAAGTCTGGGTTAGTGAGAAGAAACTAGAGTGGAAAGCTGAATGGAAACAGATCTGGAAAACTGAAAAGAAACAGGTTTGGGTTAGCGACAAGAAATTGGTTTGGAAAGAGGAATCGGTTCAGGTCTGGGTACCTGAGAAGAAGCAAATTTGGGTAACACAGAAGAAACAGGTATGGAAGGATGAGTGGAAGAGCAAATGGGTGCCAGTGTGGAAGGACGTACAGGTACCAGCGTGGAAAAAGATATGGAAGCCCGTTTGGGAGAAAGTTTGGGTACAGACTGAACCTCACCACGACGAACACCATGGATACAAGTAAAACTTCTGCCATGAGATTCTTCGTTCGATCTTTACTCATCTGGACGATAAAATCGTTCATCGTTGTTCACATTTTTTGCTAGTATAGCTGTAGCCTGAGAGCGGGGGTCAAAGGTTCGCGAATCGCGAAAGTCGCCATCCTTGCGTTCTTTTTGTTCTCTTTCGCCTTTCGGAGAAAAAACGAGGACTCCGCTGTTGTTTGCGATTACGGTAACGGAGTCCAGATTTTCTTATTTTATGTCTGTAGGAAGCCATGTAAACCATGTAAAATCGCGTGAAAGTACCGTGGAAAATAGGAGACTTTATTCTTGGCAGCGAAAGAATGTCACGTTAATGAATAATTTTATAATAGAAAATTTTGAAGTTATTGATGTCTAATGATTTTAGAATAGAAGAACAACAATATCTTTCTCTTTTTTGGAGAAATATCGAGAAATTATTTTGCTGCGAGATTATTGCTCGTATTCTACCTTTTTTTCTAGGTGAAATGTTTAATTAATTATTTTTTTCTTTTGAATATTTGTTTCGGGAGATTATTATCAAGAGATCTTATCATTTGTATTCTGTTTGTTGTTCTGATTGAGATTTTCTGTTCAATTATGTTTCTGATTAAATCTTAAATTAGGGACATTAGTATTGGGAAATTAACATTAATATTCATGTACAACAGAACCTACTGTCGATTAGCAAAAATGTAAAGTCTTTAAAATAAATTCTGCCATGCATCTTAAAGGAACCGGTAGTCAAAATAGGAAATTTTATACGATTCCGCGTTACATAGTAGAGTAAGAATCGTCATACGTGCTTGAACAAGCCATGTACGACAAATCGAATATAATTATTTTCTTTGTTTACTTGTAAATAACGATTCCTCGCGGAAGTATATGTAGATATAGATATTTTTGTACAATGTTTGTGTATGTTACCGTAATAAAGTACATTTTTTTTAATTTACGAATTCTTTTAGTTTCACGTAAAATATAATATGTGAATATTCCAATTAGAATATTTATAAATTTTATGTTATATTTTAATATGAATAAATGGAGAAATATTCGAATCCTAAAGGAACTAGTAATTGAAAATATTAGAAATGTAGAATTAACTTGTAGTATCCAGTTTTATGAGTAAGGTGTATTTTATTAGTTTGTTTAATGGATTTTCGCCTTTAAACAAGCGTTTCTACGCAAAGGAATTATTTGTTTACGAGTAATTAATGACTCGAAGCTTCTCAATTCCTGGTAGAACAATGTGCGGCTCCCAACGAATGGACGTAACACGAAATAAATTTCTCTGTTTGACAAGAGAAGCTACAGAAAATTCATACTGGATGAAAGTGAGTTAAAACTGACTAAAATCGTAACTGCCACATCTATAGAAACATTTAACTCCAACTGCAATTGCAAACAACTACAAATTTCGATAGTCATATGAAGTTTATCGTAATCATTTCTATTTATCATTGTTAAACACAGATAATGTTTGTTTAAAAATACTTTTACAGTATATAGCTTTTACTCATGCGATAAATCGGAATACATAAATCTTTTTTATAAATTTAAGGCGATAATAGCAGCAGTCGGTGTATGATTTATCTAATCTACTACACTTGTCCACTTTTTATTTTAATTAATTATTTTATTCGTTTGAGATAATCTAAATTGTTATTCGATTAGATACACGTATAAGATATAATATACAAGATTTTCGTTTTAACGATATTTCAGATACTTGTAAAGTTATATGATTTCATTTAAAACACTCGAGATAAATTTGTTTGATTACAACTTCTCATAAACAGAAAAACTTTGCAAATAAACATGATTTAGCGTCTTCTACAAACAGAGATTATTAATGCAATATGAAAGCTCTTCTCCTCCTATTCTAACAAAACATTATTATTTTATCATCCAAGTTTGTAGAAATTTTATTAAAATAATTATTCTATTTAATAATTCTATTTAATAATTCTATTTAATAATCATTCTATTATTCGAGAAAATACTTCTTATTTCTTATTTATACTACGATTATGGAGATAGTAATTTTTATTGGCCCACCCTGTAAGTAAAAGTGCGAAGATCTTCTCGATTCCCAAGCGCAGGCATTAGGTCGCAAACACAGAAGAACCGTGTCCACACAGTTAGAGATTAATTCCCGGCAGATGAAAGCGCTTAGTTTCTACGAAACAAGAGGAAGATCCGACAAGAAGAGAGATGAAAGATGCTTTCTAAGGATAAGATGAGATTCAAGGGAACCGGCACATCTCAGGGTCCTCAGGGTCGCGATTCATCGCTCACGACCTTTACTTTCTCCAGTTCCCGTGCGCGTGACAACTCTTGTAGGATGAGAAGAGTGAAAAAGACGAGGAAGACAGCGGAGAAGATGAGAAGACGCCGGAAATGGTATGACTGGCCAATCATTCCCGAAACTTTAAGATGAAAATATAAAGGGAAACGACTTTCGAAACTGAAGAACAAGTTTTATCGGTCATGTTGTCACTAAGAAAACATATTAGAATGTTAAAACAGATTTAATACGATACGATCGCTCACGAAGCATTATTGTGAAGATTTCATTGGAACATCATCGTTGTAGACAATGACTATGCAGATATTTATGCAAGATCTGACACATCACGTTAGAATTTAAGATTCTTACATTATACTAGACATTGAAAAGTAGAATATACTTTTTATACCCAATTTAAGTATTATAAGATTATTCACTTTCTTGAGTTAATAGGGTTAATATAAGAGTTAGATAGTTCACCCCATATAAATGCCTATATGTTTATGATTGAAAGCATAGTATAAATCAGATCTTACCCATTGATGAAGAAAACGATTGATCGAGGAAGGCGAGACGTTCCACGACATTTGAGATATATCAACGCTTAATCGGTCAGTCGTGGGACATAGCGTAATGAGAAGAAAGTTTCAGCAAGAAAATGAACAAGGATTAATTGTAAGAGCTGCTCATTATGAAAAACGCTTTTTTCGATGGATCAGTTGACTCAATTTGATCTAATGATGATCAAAAAGTGGTGAGCAACAATTTACACAGTTCGTTTATCAATATTCACTTTCATATGATTTTTCTACATTTAATATGATTTTTTAATATAACATGATTAATAGCACTTTAATATGATCTTTTAATACCATTTTTTCTATATATCAAAGATAATCTATGATATATTCCCCCTCATCCTTAATTTCTTTTAATTATGAACTCTTATATACAAAACATCGTTTTCTTCTTCTTGTATTATGTATCCTTTATACCAGTAAAGAAAATATCTTCTTAGTACAATAGCAAATAAACAAAAGAAGATTTAAAAATAGATACAGCAGCAACATCATAAATAGGAATTGTATTATTGAAAGACTTATCTTTATATTTTCTCTTATGAGAAAGATAAAAGATATTTCAGGTTTTCCTTTGTAGATTTTACTTTCTTAAGATTACATTCCTGGTACTTTTGAAGCGCTATAAATACATAATAGCTTTCAACTTTTCATTTCGAATAATAATTACAAGCCAAATTAAGTCCAATTTGGTATGAAAACTTTCTCCATTTATATGTTCGTTACTGTATGTAGGATACATAACTTATAAATTACGTCATTCTATAGAGGGTTGAAAAATGCCGGAAATCAATCATGAAAAGCACAACCTTCTGTTTTCCTCATTACGTCTTGACCTTAATAGCGAACGTCGCTCCTTTACTTTCTTCATCGCAGTCTCACGGTAATTTTAATTCACGATACATACTTTTTCTCGCGCACGCTTGCAGGTCTCTTGTGTGAAGATATAGGAAACCGCTTTCAAACACTCTACAGGTGGAAGCATCCCAACGTGAGGCAGATGCGAGTAAACGCAATTATCATATAATGACCGCAAGACGAGTTGGAAGAAGAGCTTCGATCAATGTGTCGTTGGTTTCCACGAACGGTGAAAGTGCCGGATCCGGTAGTGGGTGCTGTGTATATATCCTGACAGCATACTCGAAAAGCTTCAGAAATCTCGCGTTTACGAAGAAGTCTGGATCGGGCATAAAATAGAAAGAATAAAATAGAAAGTTAGAGAATGATAAATAAAAAATGGGATTAATAGATGAGATAATAAGTGAGTTTGGAGAACATTTGGGAAGAAATGGATTTTGGAAAAATTTAAGAATAGGCAGATTTGGAGTAGGTTTAGGAGAAAATCAATTTTGAAAACTTTTCAGGAAAGCAGACTAAGGAAAATGTAAAAGAAATATAAGGCCTTGATCAATACAGGGAGATTATATAAATATATAATATCCCAGAAAATATGATGTGGATTTTTACTATATTTTAATTAGAATTTGATTTAGAACGTATAATTAAAATTTTATATACTTTACGATCAGTATAACAAATCTTATCTTTTTTTTACACTTGTTGTGTCAGATACATTATTATATGATTTACAAATAGCAAAGTAATTGCTAGCTTGCCTGTAAAATTAATATGAAGTTGTTTGCATACTTTACTTTCTATATTTCTAAAAAAAAAGCAAGTGTTAATAAATCCAAATTCTCTTAAATGTAATATTTCAATTATTTATACTGGAATATGTAGTTTTCTCAGTGAATCTGAGAAAGTGACGCTAGATAGAGTTACCTGCAGGTTTGTAGGAATTTCTCTCATGTTTTATGATGTCACTTTATCAGCATAATTGTTGTTTCCGCCGTAAAATCAGAGGAAACCGCTTTCTATAAAAACAAACCAAATTTAGAAAATAATATTATGCATCTTGTAAAATAATTTAAACGTTTTAAAACAATTTTTAAATTAAGAATGAAATATTATTATGTTCGATTTAGCTTACTCAAATTGATCGTATATTAATTATTAAATAAAATCAAACAATTTTCTCTTCGTTCATATGTATAAATGTATCCATGACCATTGCTGTAAATAAATAAATAAATATTAGTGACGTTGACCAAATAATCGAATTTTTAGAAATTAAAGCTTTTGATATTTTTGCATGATGAATCAATCAAGTGTCCTTGCGCTCATAATCTATTTGTAGCAAACCGAAACATCGAAAGTTGTTCATGCTTTATGTATGGCGCGGTACGAAGACATATACGATCACACGTATTACCCAATAGAAAGCGAATCGTTCATACGTTGGATTTGTGGCAATTGCGATCTATCAACATTTCTATCATAGGATTAATGACCGGTTTGAAAAAATGGCAAGCATCTTATCAATAACTTAACATATAAATCTTGCGATACTGGTTTCTTCGTCAAGTCTAAAAAGAATGTTATTATGAGATGAATATGATAATGTGATAAATAATACTGATAACCAATGAAAAATAACTACAATACCTAATTTATAAACTTTTTACCTTATCTTAATTTCATTTCATATTTTTCTTGCAATAAATTGTATTTCAATAAAGCTGACATAATTTCATTCACGTACCATTCAAAACTTTCTGTCATAATTATAACAATATAATTGCTTGTGTATGCATCGAATTACAATTACATGCGGTTCTTTTGAATCTTTTCTTCGATGAAAAGAGTTCAAGTGTTTCTTTCGAAAGCTGAGCATCGGTGCCTTTTAATCATTGATCAATTTTTCGTTCGCTACGCAGAATGCGAAAAGGCGAAAAGTACGGTGTCATGATCATCGTTTACTCGGCAAGGCCACTTTCACATGGTTTGCCGCGATGAGAACGAGCAGGTATATATCCTTCCTTTGTTCATCCTCGGATTTTTTATTCAGAGCTCTTTTTAAATTTGCTTATTCCTGTGGCGAAAGTAGGGTCTATAGATTATCGCGTTTAATACGTATCTATTGAAGATTTAAGTACAACTATAAATGTCTTCTTCTTGAATTTCTTCAATTACATAACATGAAAACTGAAAGACTATAAAACTTCGCTTGAAAAGTCAAGTATCATAGAACTTAAGTACTTCAATATTTAGGCCTTATAAATAGATATTCCAGAACTCAGCCACAGTTAATGATTGGAAAGTTCAGGTATCTCGTCATTCGGGTATCCTAGAACTTAGATATTTTATAATTTAAATATCTGAGGTGTCTTCATATGTAGATAGAGAATTTGAGTACCTGTGGATTTAATGATTCGAAGATTCATTATATATCTTGTCATATAAGTATCCCGGAAATCAGGCATTTCAATATTTTTAAATTCAAATATGAATTGCGACGAATTTTATTCTATAAAAATTTCGCAGTTGGTGTTTGAGACTTCAGGTACCTTGAAATACCTGGAAATTTTAAATTTTTAGTTGAGCTGTTGTAATAGTACACAAATATTTCATTTATAAAATGATTTGTACCCAAACGTTCAGTCCCACAGTAGAATAGACACGAAAGGACTATCGATAGGATAGTTACGTGAGCTGTACCGTAAGCGGATAACTAGTTTATTTGGTTTCGTATTGTATGTAACGTGGAATCATTTTGTAATGTGCATGAAACATACAGGTCAATGGTAATGATAGCTTACTTCGTTGCCCATTAGAAACGTAATTTCACCCAGATAACGCGCATCGCTGACCGCGAATGGAAGCAAATTTCACTTTCGAATTGGGATCAAACGCATTCTACCGCACAACCGTGTATCGTAATATAGTCGTCTTATTTACTATTTCAAGAATTATTCACTC